ACACCCGCAAGGACACTGGACTGCCATTCAATCTATACAGGAAAAGTGTTTTTTTGTTTTAACACAGCCATTGTGACACCAGATGTAATTGGTGGCACTGACTGGGGAAATGGGCACACAGTATGCACTGTGAGCCTGACACAGAAGCTGGCAGCAGTGGCAGACAACTGACTGCTATTCAATCTATAACAGTGAAAAAAGTTTTTTGTTTTTAAATCCAAGCTATTGTGACACCAGATGTAATTGGTGGCACTGACTGGGGAAATGGGCACTGTGAGCCTGACACAGAAGCTGGCAGCAGTGGCAGACAACTAAGTGCATTTACATTACATAGAAAAAAAAAATAAAAAAAAGCATACCCTTATCCCTAACCTAGCTATGCTTTTCCCTATCTTATGAACAGCAGCTACACTTTCCCTCCTCTTACTAAGCATGCAGCTTGAGAATGAATCTAAAATGGATGCTGTCCAGTAGGTGGGAGGGTCTGCTAGGGAGGCTGTGCTGCTAATTGGCTGGAATGTGTCTGCTGACTGTGAGGTACAGGGTCAAAGTTTACTCAATGATGACGAATAGGGGGCGGGTCGAACCGCGCATATGTTCGCCCGCCGTGGCGAACGCGAACATGCTATGTTCGCCAGGAACCGTACGCTGGCGAACCGTTCGGTACATCACTAACCATAAGTCAGGGGGGTTGGGCGGGTGTTGTCAGGGTTGGGGCATGGGGGATAATGGCTACCAGAAGCTAGGATTAAACATAGAGGAAATCTGAATCCCCACCTGCCTCACGCTCACTTAAACATTGGTCATTTGGGCAACATTAGATGTTACGTCCTTATATACAATAATTAAACATGAACTAGGGCTAGATGCAATCATGTGTTTTCTGTTGGAGGATAAAGATTTAGATTCAGAAATTAGAGATTTTATTATAATTTCAGTCAGATTCATATTTGAACACACTTATTTTTTTTTTATGGACATTTTTTCCTACAAATTACAGACACAGCCATGGGCACCAGGTTCACCCCCCGTTATGCCAACTTGTATATGAGAAAAAGGGGAAGACCTTTGGATATGGTCGGATCATGGCTGGAGGGTGAGCCTGACCCGTGGCGGTGTTTTACAGATGGCGTTTTGATCATCTGGGAGGTTCACCTCAAGAATTTAACTAATTTGTACAATATTTAAATGACAGCCCTTTTAATCTAAAGTTCACTCCAGAATGGAATAATAAAATGATTAACTTTTTGGATGTAACCCTATTTGATGAGGACAAAGATGTGAGATCTGTTTTTTTAAGCCCATTGATGGCAACAGCTATGTTCATCGTAGAAGTTGCCATCATCAGCCGTGGTTGAGGGGAATAGCTAGAAGCCAGTTCATCCGAGTAAGACGAAATTGTTCTGATACTTGGGATTATGAAGTTCAGGCCAATCACATCAAGAATAAACTATTACAAAAGTGTAACAATAAGAATTCCATAGAGAATGAAATGAAACTAGTAAGGGAAAAGGAAAGAAACATGTTACTTATGGATAAACCCAATAACATTCAAGATAATACATTTCAACAGAGCTTCGTTACTAGGTATAATAAAGACCACTGGAAGATAAAAAGAGGCTTGGCTGGGCACTGGCCTATCCTTTTACAGGACCCAGTGCTTAATCAAATATTAACAGAAAACCCCACAATAATTTTTAAAAAGAATTGTAACCTGAAGAACCTTTTAGCTCCCAGTTATGCAAAAAGTATACTAATTACTAAACAAAAAATAAACTCTGAAAACCCAGGTTTCAAAGGAGGTGGGAAATATAAAGCTTG